AGAGTAAGACATAAAACACAGTTCTAAGCTAATCGACCTTAGTGTTCTCCTTTTTAAAAAGAATCAATAAGAGAATCGATAAGGAATCGAACTGTTAAACAGAATCGAAAATGGAATTGGAATCGTGAAAATCTTATCAATACCCATCCCTAGACAGGTCTGACTGTGTAACAAGTTGTTTGCCATTAAGTGTGTGGATTCATAACACAAATGATCCTCAATTTTGACAAAGTTGCAAAATAGACATATATTATTAAGACTTAAAATTAGTGACTAAGCCCATACACTTGGCAGGTAATGTTAACAGAGGTTAGCATGGAAAGCCGTTTTCCTATAGACTTATACAGGACTTCTTTTTGCAACCACCATTTTTGCAGCCATTTAGTGGCCTTCAGATAGATAGCATTGGCCTCATTTTTCCTACCTGGAAGCTACATTTCTCTTCTATACTGTCCAAGCACTTACTTTTTCTCTCCTCCACATAGGGGTGTGCACACTGACCATAGATAGAAGGCACCACCAGTGATGTGAAAGGCTGAACCCACCCAGCCGAGAAATATTGGGGTGCCAAGGTTAAACCTGTTGGTTGCAAACCAGAGAGATGCTGAGATCATAATTTAAAAATTTCAGTTTTATTCAATGTAGGGTAACATTTATTCTGTGTAACCATGGTTACTTACTGGAGTCCAGTGGGACCAGGGTCAATATGTATTGCATAGACATACTGTGCATAGACACCATACCCAGATGTGGACAGCACTCCTGAATGCAAATCAAGTTAAAAAAAAAAATAGAGTCAAAAGTTACGTTGACTGCTATGCATATTGCATATGCAACATGTGTTTGTACGCATAAGATATATAATACATTTTGGGGTCAGCTTGAAAGAAGGGCAGATGTGAAATGTAATCTAAGAGTCATAGCTGCAAAATTATAAGACATTTTGTTAGTTTTCAACCAATAACTCATTAATTGACCTTTAAGACCTTGGTCGATTTGGGCCATGTTTTAATGGATTGTTTGATGATGACCCCACTCTACATCCCTACAACGTTTCATCAGAATTCATTCAGAATTGTTCAAGTTATCATATTTACAGACAGAAGGGATCTCATGCATCATACCAAAATCATAACTGCCTGGCAGAGGTAAAAACTTGAATATTCTGGCAATTATTTCATGGTTCAATGGTAAACGCTTCAAAAAGAATATTAAGTTACTGTGCTGAATGTCAACAGTAAGTTACCTTTATCCAGTCTTGACACAAATTAACCAGCAAAATCCATGAGCAGACAATGAATAGAACTTAAGTACACAAAGAAATGAAATACAAGCCATCCCTTCTAAAAGAGTGATAATATGGTATTCACACCCAATGATTTTATAGTATTTAAAGTTAGACATTTACCACTGATGATGTGGCAACATCCACCAATGTAGATCTTCTTGTATTTTGATTGTACTTTTCCTCCAATGTAGGTGCACTCCATACCCAGCAGACTAAGTACAAACCCCAGCATGCCTACAGAAAGAGCCGACATCAACAGGGCTCTCACTATTTGGACATAGTCTAGAGTGACAATAAAGGACAGATAAAGGTTTATATAAACATTCTTGATTTGCAAATGAGAATAAATACAGCTTGAATACTGAATATGTTGACATACCTTCCACAGACCAGAGTACAGGGAAATCCTTACAGTTGGTGACAGCAGTTGAGTCTGTAAAACAAGATCTCCACAGACTAGTCCAGTGCCAGGCTACCTTGATGACAGCCGAACCTCCCATGCCCCCAACGGAGGCAATCTTCCAGCCCTCCATTGCCATAGTGCAGGCCACAAAGATCCAACCCAGTACCGTCATCAGGAACCCCCAGATCTGAACCACTCGAATTTTCATTGTATGGATTGTTGTTGTTTCCTTTCTAGATTTCTGACCCAGAAGCTTTTGTTTATTTAAGCTTGAATCCTTTTTCACCCAACTGCAAACCACCAGTTTGTTGAGTTTCTTTTTTAATTTTTAAGATGGTAGTTGGTGATTCAAGCAGTCCTCGGTCTCCAAACTCAAACAAATGCTCTTCTCAGAGAGAAGTGAATATCATGTTTAAAAAAGGGTGTTTCATTTCATTTCTTTTTGCATGTCTGTGGGATAAAGCAGTAATGCAGGTCCTCATGGGCCTGAGACTGCTTACCTTAGCATGTATCTCAAATTACCGGAGACATCATATCCACTGTTTTCAGACAGCTTAAAAGAAGAAGGATCTATTTATAGCATAAGGCGTTTTCTTTTCTAATTCATAGTTAATACTGAGATTTGTTTTTATACCAGGCCTTTTAAGTTCCCTCCATAATATAGCTAAAAAGCATGGAATTTAAAAACATCACAAAACCTTAAAATAATGAACAGGAATGGTTACCTAATTAAAAGAGAGATTTCTTTACTTCTTCTGCATCTTCCACAACTGCTGGGGTCAAAAGGTACAATTTAAGGAAGGGTTGCCAGACTAAGGATGTAAAGGTCTAGCTTGATATTTTTTTTCAATAATATGTCATAATTCGGTACCACAGTCGGTGACCAATATACCAAAAGCCGCACTCATCCACCCTCACTCTTTCCACACTCTATACTGTGCTATGTGATACAGGCAGAAATCCTGCAAAATTAAATCTTAGCAAACAACTATTTTAAACTGATCCCCATTTAGATTCACAAAATGGTAACAAAGGTTCCCAATTTTGTTTGACTCTGACTATAAACCAAGTACAAATGGATTTGTGTCTAGCAGATTTTTTTTCTTTGTTTTTTGACATGTCATGTTTTAATATTTCTCCATTGCCAGCCATAATGAGACAGTGTGCCTTTACTCTCTGTGCATTTAGTACATACCGATGTCTGGCATCTATATTTGTGCTTAATTATATACATTTCGATGTTTGGTACATATAATTCTGCTTTCCAACCATAGTGTGTTGGACTAATTTTCCAGATTTTACTTTCCAATTCTTAACTTCATGCAATTTCCTCATAATGGGAACTCTAGAATGATGATGTGCTTCTTTAGCAAGTTGTGGATGTGTAGGGGTAATGTAAATGTACAATATTGATGTGCTTTTACAAAGCTTCTCGGTTGCAGACATTTAAAAGAAAAACATTTCTCATTGAGATTGGATTCAGCCTCATTTCTATAAAGGACATGACAGTTTATGGGATGATGTGCCTTGAGACAACTGTTAATGTGATATGCAACTATATGAATAACATTGAAATTAAACTGAATTGAATTTATGCAACAGACAGGGAGTTATTTTTGACAATTTGCCTTAAATTCAGATTCATGAAATTCTTCCTCATATATGTGGGGAAACCACAGAGACATGACCTGTCCCATATGGAAAAGATATATATAAATCTTATAAAGTTTCTATCTGTCTTGTGTGAAACTTGTATGAAAAACATACAAGAGTGAAAACAGATATATATAAAAATTATATAAATGAAACGTATGTTTTGGATACTTACTAAACAACATATGAAAGTGGCCACTTTCATGAGTAAATCATATAAGCCTTATATGACTCACTATATGAAGTAGGCCACATCTGATGCAAGTCTTTTATAAGTTTTTTCTATTTCTTTTCCATATGGGGCCCCACATAAATGATATTAATAAAGGAGAGTTGATGGAACAGGAATGAAACGCTAAAGAAACTAGGGACTGAATATACTAAAGGAGAAAAATATATAACAACAATATAAACACTAAAAAAAACCCAAGAATCACTTAGAATCAATCTCAAAAACACACTGAGTCACACAAGCCACTACCACAACACTTCCATCCGTCTGTTTTCTTCCACTTACCTAATTCTGGGTTGGTTGGCTGCTGGAGCCTGTGCCAGCTGTTATAGGGAGAGAGGCAGATCTCCAGTCTATCTCAGGTAGTCCCTACCAATAAGTCAAAAGATTGATAAACTGTCCCTTAAACTGATGCTATTCTGGCCCACTGATTTTTGAAATAATAAAATCAGACTTTATGTATAAAAATTAAAAAAATGCAATGTATGAGATGCTTGATATTTAAACTAAAAGAGTGACCTTTACAAGTCTTCTTGAAATATGTAATAAAGCTGCTTGAAGCATTCTTCTCAATTTTGCCTCCGGCATTTAAGCTGCTAGTTATTAGTAATTTTGCCAGGACCTCACTGTGCGGCGGGCTGCATAATTACAGCATAGCGTCTTTGTGCTGCTCTAATTAGACTTAAATCTGAGGTAATGAGAGTTCCTGGGAGTGATGAATGTTCTTTTAGTTCAGATGAAAGAGTTCGTTTTTTGTTCCAAAGTTCACCCAGCTTATATTAAAGTTATTGTTAGTGTGGTAGAGAAATATACTGATATTTTGGAGGCTGGGCAGCCTTAATATCTTTATGAAAGATGGTTTAAATTAGCTTTAAATTAGATTCCCAGCCATCAACCCTAAAGAGGACCCTCCCCTTGTAGGTACTTAATAGGCCTAACGCCTGAGCCTTCAACTTTTACAATTCACTAGCCAAACTCTCCCAAATGTCCTCTTTTCTTTATATGGGCTTTCAGACATATACAGAAATATATGTTACTTTGTTTCTTAAAACCTGCAGGATATTTAGACTGTACAGAAAAAATGAAAAAAAAATAACTTAAAAAAAAGAAAAACATACCAAACTATATTAATTCTGCCAGTCCACTGGTTTATAACCCACATAAAATAAGCATTGTGTGTTTTAGATGTTTCTGACAAAAGCTAGTATACTAAAGCAGACATTAACATTAACACTGAGATCACAGCTACCCTATACTGTTTGCTGCTGTTTATTGAAATGGTGCAAAACTAACAATTCAAGTAGAACCTCCAAATATAAACCTATATCCATGTGCTGACCTTCCAAATACTAGATTCCTTGCTATCAGTTTTTTCTGATATCTGGCATTAACAAGGCATTTTTTCCCCAGAGAACTGCTCCTCACTGTAAATCCTAGAAATGGTTTTGTGGTAAATCCCAGTACACGAGAAAGTCTTGAAATACTCAGACTGGCATGTCTAGCACCAACAGCTAACAACAATGCCTTGTTCAAAGCCACATAAAACACAATTTTTCCTCATTCTGATGTTTGAGCATTAGGTTGCTCCCATATGATTGGTTGACTTAACAAGCATATTGTGTACCTAATAAAGTGGGTGAAAAGTCTAAATCTTTGAAAGGTAGCACTGTTCCTCAGCTTAGTGTCAAAAAGCTACTGGCATGCTCACAAACTCTTTTTGGTTTTGTGTTGGTTTAAATATGTAAAATTAAATATGTGTTTAATTTATATGAAGGATGAAAATGGAGCAACATTAGAAGATTAGTCTAGAAATGTTTGAAAGAAAGTTGATGTTAGAATTCATTAAGTTTATCATTGGAAGAAATGTATTTTTAAATAAGCTATTCAGTTACTTCTTTTCAAGTTCTGAAGACTACCATAACTTAGATGACTGAGTGATTCTCAGTCACAGACATTCAGGATACAACAGTTTCTTTTGAAATGTGTAGTTGTAATGATTTTAGTTTAGACAAAAGCTATTGCAAGCTGTTGATATTTGTCAACTTTTTTTTTTAAGAATTTCAAGAGAGTTCCAGCTAAAATGTATTTATCATTTTAACACAGGAGACATACAACCACACAAAGCCACCCTTCTGAGCCCTGGACACCTGACTCTTTTTTCGCAGATACAAAGCAGTGGAAAGCACATGACATCTACGCTCTGTTAGCTGGTTCAAGTATCTACCCTCTGGGCCAAGAGGTTTTGCGTAACATAGCCCAGGGTACCTATATTCCTAGGTGGAGATGGATGGCTGATAAGAGGGGAAACCTCCGGTTGGGCGTCCACATCTACATAAGCATCTCCGGGGTCAGATGTGACCTAGTTAGCCTTGGAGGTCAAACTAGTCTAGACTAGGAAAATTAGAAAGGCACTTCTTCAATCTATTATGTAAGAAAACAAAAGGTTTCACTATCAATTTTTGACATGTTTTAACAATACATAAGATGGTGAAAAAGCCAGTTTGTTAAAGGTGACTAAAGACTTTGAATGTCATGTTGTCTCAAATTAAATGTCCTACTCTCAATGCTTATGTTTCATAAATGAGTTTATGACAGAAATGAGGCAGCCATATTTAATTCTGAACTCTAAATCAAATAGCTCACTTTTTATCTTCCTACAGATGCAGATTAGTTCATTTTGGAGGATGCTGTCCTTGGTTTTAAATGATGAAATGTTGTTAAATTCTCAAATCAACTCGTGTAACAAGAGTCCAGTTTCACACATATGCATTTCTTCCAAACTGCCTCAACGGCTCCTGTGTTTCCTTGTTTGGGCTGGGCCTCTGGGCTGGCTTACTGGTCTTGTTGCATGTTGTCGGAAAAGATGCAGCTCCACTGTAGGAGTATTCAGCTCTGCAAAAGTCAAAACAGGAAATTTACATAGTAAAGGCTACAAAGCTCTGTTTCAAGCAAAACATTTTTTTTCTTACACCATTTCAACTTTCTTGTTACATTTAAGAAGTTCTACAACCATATTGAGTTTTCGTGCATTTCAAAAGAGTTCAAGGATAACCAAAGAGACTTAATCTTACAAAATTCACTTAAAAGCACTTTTAACTACAAACCACACGAACATCACATCTATAGACTTGTAACAGATGTCTTCCTTCTCTCACCCCAACCGGTCGCAGCAGATGGCCCCGCCCCTCCCTGAGCCTGGTTCTGCTGGATGTTTCTTCCTGTTAAAAAGGAGTTTTTCCTTCCCTCTGTGCTTGCTCATGGGGGGTCATATGATTGATGTTTTTTTTTCTCTGTATGTATTATTGTAAGGTCTACCTTACAATATAAAACACCTTGAGGTGACTGTTGTTGTGATTTGGTGCCGTATAAATAAAACTGAATTGAATTGTGTAGCCCAGGGGAAAATCTATAGGATTTCATCAAACTGGTTAAGATATTTTTTCTCAAAGTTACAAATTCAGCTTCATTATGGAATAAATTATTTAAAAATTGGTTGATCAGAGAAGTCATTAGGATTCCTCCACTGGGAACCATGAATTTAATGGACATTTGGAAAATTTTAAAGCGATCTTTGAAACCAAGCTTGCCATTCTTAGAGGCCTCTAGGTTGTCTGATTAAACATGCACAGACAAACTTTCACGTGGTACCAGTAGCACATTTTTTTGGTTTATAATCACTATGATTACAAACTGACTGCCAATCAATACTAGGTGCCATTGCTGCTATTCACCGTATTCATACAGTGAGAACATTCTAACCAGCCTGATTGTTACCAAAAACTGGGGGGAAAGAACTAGGATGTTTAAAAGAAAAAGGAACGAAAGAAAAAAAAAGTCTGTTTTTCTTTGCCCATCTCATGCAACACTTCTCAATAGCTCCCCTCAGTCAAGGTGACTTTAACTTCTAAAAGGTCCTTCTTATGCAACTGTAACAAAGGAAACATTCAGTTGGAGTAGCTAATCAACATAACGTACAATCATACAACTTACTTTGTAGGTTCAGCAATTATGCGGCAAGTTGCTGAGAGATTACTGGATGTTTTTGACTGGATTTGCCTGTCTATTGCAGTTAAAGTAATTACTTAAATTACCCAATTGAGTTAGTAAATCAATCATGCAGTTTAGAGTGCATCCACATCAGATCAACTAAGACCTTGCTGTTCATGTGAAATCACATTGTTCGCATTCTGTATATCTGCAAAACCAAGCCACTTGCCTGATACTGAAGCCTTCAGACAGGCTGAGGCAGAAGATAAGTCCTCCTAAGATGCACAACACAGATCCAGCCCAGCCAATGAAGAGAGCGGCTCCCAGCTCAAACCTGCAGGGAAAAAAGAAAAGAAAATGAAAAAAACCAAGATATTTCTGACTGGACTTCCTTTCATCTGATTATGTCTTTGATCCACGTGAAAGGAATCCTTTTACTTCTGGGCAACAAATAGGGGGTCAAAGAAGTCAGCTGTGATCCTACGAGCATATATGGAGCATGCCGTCATACAGCAGAGGCCTGTGGAAAGAAATAAGCAGATTACTACTTCAAATTAAAAGGAACTAAGGTAATGTTCTTAGCTCAAGAAGAATTCAATCCACACATTATTTTCCATTAAATCCAGACATACATAGAATGGGATGGTTTTTACCACTAAGAATAAAGTGGAAGCCTGACAGGACAGTCAACCGAGCTTTAGTGGTCTTTGAGCCTCCTATTTTTGTGCACTTCATTCCTACCAAGGCAAGAATGGCACCAAAGAAACCCAGACACACAGCAGCGATCATCAAACCCCGACACACCTGGATGTACGCTTAAAAAATGAAACAGAGAAGAGAGCTATACATTAGTTGGTTCCCTACTTTTTTGTTGCCCATGAATCGTAACAATAAACAGACTTACAAATGTGAAAAAAAAGAATTGTTTTGTTCATATTGAACAGTTTGATGTATTCTTGTGTGAGGGAAATTTGAGATAAAGTTGCAAATAAATCACTTGGAATAAATTGGATTTCTGCACTGATTTTTATAATAAAGTTGGTCCACGATTAACACTGCAACTGACCAATCACATTAATGTGATGTCATAACTTTGCAATGCGAGAACCAAAATTATGAATGCCTGTGTAATCTTTTCTTTTGTCATCTTATACAATGTAAAAAAAATCTTAATTACATCTGTTTTGCTTTTTTTAAAAAGATCTCTTCCAGGGTTACACATGGTTTGCAAGTTGTCCACTATTAATAAGAGTCTTGAATGTCCTCTATTTGAAGACAGTTTGTCCTGTTTTTAACAGATGAAAAGGAAGGTCTTTTGAAATGCTTTCCAGCTTGGTTCATTTGCTTACTTTTTGCAGAGTGGACTGTGAGTGAATGGTTAGTTTGTTAATGAAGATTGTTTGTGCTTATAGATTAGTTTAAAGGTTACGTCTATACTTAAGACTTGTATTAAGGTTGGAGCACATGCAGAAATAATAATGCTAATAATGGGCATAAATGTTGCATGACTGTTGCAAATGACTCGTATGTGAAAAGTGTCTCAGATTGTGGCAAAAACTAAAAAATGCTCAAAAATAAAATGTAAGTAAAACTAATTATTGCTAGCTTAATGTTTCATCAGGTAGAAAAAAATGCAATCATGATTTTTGATTGATGTGTAAATATCGACTTCTCACTTACAAGTTGACTGCACTTTAAACATTTAGTGTTGTGTTAACATCTTGTTCTTGTAGCAAAAAAACATATTTTTGTACGTTTAAGTTGTAAAGTGTTTTAGTTACTTTGGGCTTTTTAAATGTATAGATGGTAAAAGATCTCTCCAACCCCTAAGAAGAACTGCTGCTTTAAAACAACAGTCTAAAGGACACTAAGACGGCCAGAAGTATTGCTTTCTTAACTTTGAAAAACGAATATAAAGTATCAAGTGACCTCTCTGTGACTGTATGGCTTTCTCAGATTGTGTTGATTGGACATATAAGGAGGGCTTAATAAGTTTAGCTCAGCTTCTCTAGTAGCTTTAAATGTAGTGGCCATTTGTGGCCTCAAGGCTGAGGTAGAAAAGGAAATATCAAGTTTCAAATACATTCTTTTTTCACAAATGAGGTCATTTATCTAAGAAGTACATCTGTCAGATGTGTGCTCACAGATTTGTGGTTATTTATTTAACTGTTTTTTTTTTTTTACTGATGTAAGAAATGTCGTCCCCTGTGACTGCAACACAACATTATATTATGAACTCACCATCCAAAGCCAGCATTGAAGGAAAGTCCTTGCAGTTTGACACACCAGTGGAATCTGTCACACATGTTTTCCACAAGTTGGACCAGAAGGTAGCTGTGGTAATGACCGTACCGTCCACAGAAGATACCTTCCAGTAGTCTGTCGGCAGAGTAGATGACACCAAGATCCACCCAGAGATGGTCAGGAAAAAAGCAGTGATCTCTGTTGCCATGTTTCCCATTTTCCCTCTGACTTAAAGGTCTGGATTGGGACAAGTACAAGTTCTGTCTCTCAAAAAGTGGGAGTGTCGGTCTAGGACAGGTGCACCAGTGCTGGCAGTTCTGCAGAATTTAGTTTCTGCTTCTCCTGCTCAGCCTCTGACCAAGCATCGCTCAAAGACACACCATTCTCCACATTCTGTAGTTTTATAGGGTATGGGGGCTGGGACTGACACACAAGTCATCACTCCACACGGTATGAAGAGAGGTTGCATGAGGATCTCCAGGAGAAGGAAGTCTTTAATTGGAAGGATCTGAAAAGGCAAGATGAGGAACACAGATAGAAAGGATGATGATGTGTGGTTTCAACAGTATGCCTCAGTTTTTCAACAACATGAACAAATAAGGGTGTAGAACATCAAAGAAACCCATTGGCACAGTTCTTTGGACTTAGAGTTTAAGAAATAAAGTCATAAAGTTACAGAGAAAGTACTGGCAGGGGGAAAAATCTGTTGAAATGCTGCAAATAAGCAGAAAGCAGTTTAAAAACTGTAACTTTTAAGAATTATATTACTTAGTGTAATGCAAACAATGAGAAACATCTTTTCTGTCATGCAATAGGTTATTTTTAGTGACTTACTTTATGGTAATATGATTGGACATGGTTGATATCAATGTCATTAAAATGAGTGTAAAATTGATTAAGTCTTAAATGTTTTTTCGGAAGTTACAATTTTCAAAACAACCCAGTGGGCAGAATTAGATACATTGAAAAGTTGGCTGTGATTGACATCCCTGTTTAGCAGCATTAGAGCACCATCAAGTGGCAGAAAGAACAAACACAGTTCCTCCTTTGAAAGAAATATTAGACCAGAGGTAGGCAACTCCAGGCCTTGAGTGCCGGTGTCCTGCAGGTTTTAGATCACACCCTGGGTTAACACACCTGAATCAAATGATTAGTTCATTACCAGGCCTCTGGAGAACTTCAAGAAATGCTGACGAGTCATTTAGTCCTTTAAATCAGCTGTGATGGATCATGGACACATCTAAAACCTCCAGGACACCGGCACTTGAGGCCTGGAGTTGCTTACCCCTGTATTAGACTGTAGGGTTGGGTCTCTCTCTCTCTCTCTCTCTCTCTCATGCACATGCACACTCTTTCTACCTAATTGCCATGTGACAATGACAGGCTGCTGTGGGCTCAAGTGTTATAACAGCAGATTAAAACCTATGCTGAAGAAGTTTAGGAAATGTTAAGAAATGTTAACAAGTATTTCAAAGTTCTGCCCGCTGGAATTGAAACGATGGGACGAGGTGCGACTTCTCACAACGAACGCAGCATGGTTAACACCTTGGAGACGCTTACAGCTGCCGTGAAGGCTCAAAATAACACCATTGAGCGTATATTGGGATACATCATAGAGAGGCCTGCTCAAAATGAGACCCTTGAGTGAAAGTTGGGTCACATCGCAGAACGGCTCACTGCAGTTGTGGGGTCCCAGAATCAAAAGAATGACAACACCATGGAACGGAAGTTTGATACCATCATGGGGAGGCTCGCGGCTCTCCAACGGGAGATTCAGAGACCAGTGTCGGAGTGTTAAAGAGCAGCTTGAAATTCTCATGCTCGCATAAAAGAAAAATCAACAACATCAACATGCGGACACCACGGTGCCAGCTGCAGGCCCAAGGCTGGACCAAAACTCCCAGATAACGACTGTGTGTTGACTATTCTTCCCATTCCATGCAAGGCCACCTGGGTTGGCTGGCAGACTGTTTACTTAGCCTGATAGGGCGGAGGACACTGTCTCAGCTGAACTATGGACATGCACACACAAACACTTACACTGATAAGCACGCACTCATCCCCCTCCCTTTCCAAACGCCTTCGATGCTTGTTTCCTGTGGGGGAAGACGGCGGGTCTGTGTGCCGCGCTGGAATGGTAGCGCTGTGCAGGATGACTGCTGTGTTTCCTTCGGATTACTCCTCACCCCCTACCCAACCTTGTGGCTTGTCACATGCTCCAATGTTGTACTGTGGACATTTATGTGCTCTCTGTGCAGAGGAGTTATTTTGTTTCCTGTTCTCATGCTGTCCTCCAATAGGTGCCCAGCATGAGTAGAGGTCTCTTTTTCCTCTTCTACTTTCCCATTGTTGTGTACTTTTTCAGTGTTTTTCTGTAACGCTGCCGATCTCCAACCTGTATTCCCATGTGATGTTGTGTGTGTAATCGGGGGGGTTCTATTCCACTGCAGGGAAACCTGCATGTGGCCAATAAAGCCTTTCATTCATTCATTCATTCATACAAGTCATATTATAGAATGGAAAGTCAAAGTATAGTATAGAATGGCATAGTACAGAATATAATGATTTTAGAATGTAATGGCATCGTGAGAATAAGAACGTATTTCTTTGTGCCCCCTTTTCCCTGTTAATGCCCTACCTGGCCCCCTGGCAAAACTTTGCTAGATCCGCCCCTGCACAGTTGCCAGCTGTCAGCGTAAAAAAGGATCCTGGTGTTATTTGTCTCTCAGAAACAGTTCATAACTTCCCTTTAACTCATTCATGTCACCTAAAAGGTAAACCTGTTTCTCCATCATCTGTTCAGCTCTGATGATTCGGTAAGGACATCTTCTTGGTGATGGGTCGGTCGCGAACGAAATGGCTCTTAGAGCCGGTTCTTTGACATGAACGACACGAGCCGGCTCCTTATTGCGAGCCGTGGAGGTTTTTTTTTTCTTTCTCTCACCCTCTCTCTCGCACTTTTTTTCCGCTTCACTCAGCATGCGAGCCTTGTGCTTTATGCTGGGAAGAGGGGGGAGGGG